ACTTATAATGCTTGTTGAATTTATGCCGTAGAGCACATGAAAGTATCCATTATGTGATAGTAAAATCTCTTTTCGGAGAGATGCTCAGAATAATGTGATATTGGGATTGGAATAGGAGAATTATTTTTATATTAGTTGGGACAATTTTTTATGCATAAGAGCATGTTTTAGTGGGAGAATGTGATGAAATATTTTGTTGTCTTCTTGTCAGAAGTCAAAAAAGGAGATTTCAGTCAAATTAAAGAAAAAATATGAAGAACGCAATTAGTTTGAGTCAAGTTATGAAGGATACGACTAGTTTGAATCAAGTTTTGAAGGATAAGACTTATTTGAACCAAATATTACGGGATACAACTAGTTTGAGTCAAGTTTTGAATGATTAAACTTGTTTCAATCAAATTTTACGGGATACAGCTAGTTTGAGTCAAGTTCTGAAGAACACGACTTATTTGAACCAAATTTTACGGGATACAACTAGTTTGAGTCAAGTTTTGAAGGAAAAAACTAGTTTGAGTCAAGTTCTGAAGGATACGACTAGTTTGAGTCAAGTTAAGGAGGATTCGACTAGTTTGAATCAAGTTCTGAAGAAAAAGTTATCTTTGAGTCATGATTTAAAGAACATGACTTTTTTCAGACAAATTCTAATGGACACGGCTAGTTTGGTTTAAAAAGTGCGCCTAAACATCTAAAATACTAAGATTGTCAACTTATTTCAGTCCAATTCCAACTCTCCATCCACATATCATCCATGTAACTCAAAACACACATATATAAGTTGATAAAAAAGGGGGCAATAGAGCATAACTATAGAAAACAAAAAGATGTATCTCGTGAGTAGTAATTTTTCAACTACCAACTGTATGGATGCTAATGTTTGTCTACTTTCAATCGTGTATTGAATTTAAAATAGCATAACAAGCACCATATCTAGCGAACCCTCACACTTGCCTCACTCCACATCGCAATTCTTTTATTTTCCCATTTTCCATCCTTCTTTACTTTTTTCCCATATTTCAACATTACTCAAATGGACATGTCATACGAAATACCATACGATATGGCAACAGAAGCAGTAGAAAACGAAAGAAATATTATGATTCGATGAATGATTGTTCTTTGTACCTCATCGCATGAGTTGAATTCATACAAATGACATGCTTCAATCCTCATACCTTCCCCCTTATACCCATAATGTCAGTCTTTTTTTTCTTCTCTTCCTTCCACGATTCTTCTTTCTCTCTATAATGTGTATTTGAATAATATGTGATATGAGGAAAAATGAATGGAAATGGAAATGTGTGTATATCAATGTTCATATTTGTGTGTACGGAAAAGGCTTTTATTAATTTTGATGTATAACTTTCAATTTTTATTCATCGAGGTGAAACCGACAGAGGAAAAGAATGAGTAAGAAAGATGGAGAAAATTATGGAAATAAGCAAAATGTCTGTATATATGCTGATATGTAGGTACACGTGTATGTATAAATGAATAGGAGTCATTAGGACGCATTTTAGCGACTTTTCAAATTGTTAACATTGTAGGCTGATGGTTCAGGGACCAAATAGATTTCTTACTTAATAAATGTGAACTTAAAATTGAAATCCGGATTTCGAGTCTTGTAAATATGTTTAATATAAAAAGCAGCTTTGGATATTAATTAGACGGTTTGTAAACAGCACAGTTGATGCTTAAAGGTCAGCTGTTGATTATATCGACCACACTATGTACTGACTGAGAGATTAACTTTCCTACGTCTGGAACTGGAAGCAACATTAGCCACAATTAAGTAATATTCATACCACAGACCCGATCGGCACATATTGAAATGTTTGCCCGGCCGCAGGTCAATGAATTTCAATGTGTGCCGATCGGTAGAGTGTATTATATTGATTATCGATCTTTAGATTAAGACTGTGGTCCTTGTTCTATCTTAATCCTAGAATCTGCACTAATTTTAATCAGAACGAACTGGGACAAACCGCATCCCTTAAATCTACAATTTCTAATTCATTCAGAATTTCTGTTTTTTAAAAAAAAGAAAAAGTCAAAAAAATGTCATGATAGAATGGATTAGAGAATCACATCCTAATATTCATAAATATCCATTCAAATGTGTACGGCAAAAAAAATGAGTATGAACATGAAAATATCATTCATTTGAAAATGTGAAAATAAATATAATAAATGATGATGCTATTCATCATAGCTTTTTTTGAGATATCAACTATTATTTTCATTTTTCTTTGAGGATTTTTTTATTTTTGGAATTTAATGAAAATTGTGTTAGGAATGTTTTCTGAGTTTGAATTTGATGATGATTGTTAATTCTGAATTTTTGGTATCTTTTGGTCAAGATATGAAGAGTTAGATGATTAGATGTTCGATCTGACTCTAGATTTTATCTGAGAGACTTAGTATCTCAAATATCTCAGAATATTCTTCAAGAACTTCAAAACCTATCAAGAACAATTCAACTGTGTTATAAATTAGAGCTCTACAACTCTTTACCCTCCCAAAAAACAAGCAAGTTTCCTCCTCAAAATAATATCAAAAGAAAACTCAAAAAATAATTTTTGTCGTTCATCAAACACGAGAAAAAAAAAATTTCCAAAAAACAAATGATAAAACTTTTTTATTACATTTCTTTGCTGTGCCTGTCTTTAAAGTCAAGTCAAAGAGAAGACTGCTGTGGAAAGAAAAAGAAAAATTTATTTGAACATATTTGATTAAGAACAAGCTCATCATACATGAGACGATTCGAGCATGTGATTATGAAGATGAAAATTTTTTAATTTTAATTTTTCGTACACAGAATCAAGAGAAGAGGAGAAAAAAAACAACATAAAGGAACAGAAAAAGTTGGAGAAACTTAGTATTTATCTTTCATTTTTTTGTATTTCTTCAAAACAGATTTTCATCAAATTAATTTATTATAGTATGGCAAATATTATGTCTCATGTATGAAAAGAACAAAATCATCATCATCATCATCATCTTGTTCTTATTTCAGCGGTCTTTACTCATGTAAAAATAAATAATAATAATAATAATAATAATAAGACATTTCAATTTTCTTCATATTTTTCCGTTGTTGATGTGGCAATTTTCATTATTAAATTTTTACTAGAAGATATTTTTTTTTCTTATCAACTTTGATATGGATGGAAGTGGATCTCTCTTTTCAAGTGCTTGTGTATGTTTTTGTGTACATATGCTCACAAAGAAAAATATCTTCGTCATTTTTTTTAGCTGAATTATTGCTGATGTTTTGAGATCATTTTGGGTTTAAAGGATTTGATTTCAGATCTCTGAAACATTTTTATTCAAACGACTCTAAATGACTGTATTGGTTTGAGATTCTAATCAATTAGAGGAAAACGAAGCAATTTCAATGTTTAATCTTGTTCTCAATAGAAAATGCTCCTCACTTATGTCAATTTTAATGGATTTCACTTGTATCCATTGATTTAAGAGCCTTTTATTCAAATGTTTGTATTAAACAGATAACTAATTCAATCTTTGAGAGTTAAGGCATCATCAAGAGAATGATAGAAGTTCTGGCTTACTTTATCAAAGCAGTAGAACTAATCAACTGACTTTAGATCATTTTTGAATGATTTTGTTCAGTTCTGGATCCATAAGCCCAGTTGTTCAGTTCCAACCTATTTGACTGTAACTCAAAAATTAAACTAGGCGGTATTTCATATAAAGAGGCGGTATTTGGGGGTATTTGGAGGTATTTGTATAGAAGTTGTCGGTATTTGACAGTATACCGCCTAATTTCCGAGCCTGGATCAAACCTATCAGCTATCCCTAATAGTGTTGGGCAAATATTCAAATATATTAGAATATATTCGAATATGAACAAAAAAATATTCGAATATATTCGAATATATATTCGAATATTAGAAATTCAAAAATAAAAAAAATACGTTATTTGTTAATTAGCATTTTTCTACTGCCTGCAATTTGTAAATGATAAACAATTCTACAGAAGAGTTGAATTTCAAAATTTTAGTAATAATTCCTTTTCTACTTGAAATTTCAAATTTTAAAAGTTCGTTACCTAAGGGATTCCCTAAGTCATTGTTCAATGAAAATCAATACATTTAGAATGCCTTGTCTTTGCCATTCAAAACAAATCATGCAAAAATGCACCATAACCACCCTTAAAATACAAAAAATAATTGACACACTCCTACTTACACCTCGAAGCTATTAGATGAGATGTGAAACTTTTTTTACTCACTTTTACGTTCCATATTATATTTCCATATATATATGTAGAATGTTAATTTGTTCGTTTTTTATTAATTTTTAATATTAATTTGAATCTTTATAATGTACGAATGTTAAAATCTTTTATAAGTTTTGTTTGCACAATTAAATTTCATATTTTCTAATAAAACATCCAACTTTACACGGGAGGGGTTGACTGAGATCTCACTCCTCATTTTAATAATGAATAATAAAGCAAAAAATGTATACAGAATGAAATAATAAAGTCGAGAAATGGGGTTGAAGGAGTAAAATGATTGCCTCAAAGGTATAACTCATAATTCTTTTTATTTTCGAACGAAATTTCTTCGCTTGCGATGTCATTTAACTGATAAAATTTTAATCATGTTGAATATTCGTGATAATTAGTTTTTGCTTTTTTTTTCTTCTGTTGCTAAAATATCAACAAGTTGTAAAAAGGTAAAAAGAATTAATTTTTGAAATTTATTATCATTACAATGGAGCTGTTTATGCTTAATGTATGCATACATATATTAAATTATATTATATTATGATAATATTAATATGTTACCAACATTTAAAATTTTGATGATGAAACTAGAATTGAAAGTCGGTTCGCTGATTCTTATTTGCAGATTTTCTTACTTTTTGTTGGATTTTCATAGTTTATAGACATTTTAAAATCTAACTCTTTTAAATTTCTCTTAGAGATTTTGAGTCATAAATGTCAGAGCAATATCCAATCCAAAAACAATTGTTTATTTGTAAGGATTGATTGTAAACAGTTGAACCATCATTATAAAGAAATTGAAAATTTCGGACAGCATCTAGAAATAAAAATGTAGAATGAAGTCAATATAAGTTGATCATGCTTACATCAGTCAATGTCTCAATTTTCATATTAATCATTCCACAAACAATGAATTTGCATTCAACAGAATTTAAAAGGATGAAAATTGATTCCGATTTCTTAAACGTTGTAGTTTTCATATACAGGTTAAGTTCGACTTCCTTAATCTGAAAATGAATTCAAATAAGGTTAACAAAGTTCAATAATTTGAAAAATTCTTCCTTACCTTTTTATAAAATTCCTCACATTTTGAAAAGATTGTCCAGAACATGAAAAATGGAACCAAAAAATGTAAGAATGTTCCAAATTGACGAAAATATTTCAAATAATTAAATATTAATCTCATTATGACCCAATAGAATGAGATGATTGTGAGTAAAAAGTGAAAGAAGATTGTGATAAAAATGTCAATCGAGTATCGATCAAGGATCTTTGCCTTAAGTACAAATACTTCAAAGATTTCTCTTTTAACGATTTTCATATCATTTTGAGTCCTAATCATTTGAATTTTGTGATTAATGTAATTTAAATATTCAATCAGTAGCTCAACATAATAAACAAACATTAAATCGTTTGAGGAGTAAATTAATTCAGGAAAAGCAGTTTGTGAATGAAATATCACGTTGCTTTGATTGCTTGCCATTCCATATTTAATAATTCTCACAATAATTATGAACGACATTCGAATTAGAAATTTTTTCTCACAATTTCCAAGTTTTTGTGTAAATTTTGGCTTCAACTTTTGTGCTAAATTCTTTTGTTTGTTCCGCATTAAAAATGCTTTAAGAATCAGAAAATTTTGAATGATGAATGGAAAGATGCTTTGATAAACTTGTGTGACACTATAAATTCCACCTCCACTATACCATGGAGTAGGTGATAAGAAATTTGGGAAATAAACAGTCGCAAATAATGTTACAGACTGAACAATGAATTGAAACTGAATAAAAATAAAAATTGGACTTTCAAATTTGTAAAAGTTAAGTCCCAGGCAGTTTGTAACGATAAGAAATATATTCTGAACTTTCATTTTTGAATTATTGTGGTAAACTAAAGTGAATCAAAATTTTTCTGTTTAACTCCTTTATTTTCATATTAAATTCAGGTAATAAATGATTGAATTAATGATCAGATTAAATGCATGATTAATCGTTAAAAAAAAAAAATCTAGATTTTTTGAAATTAATAATTGATGAGTTAGGCTACAGTGGTTAGAAGCTTATTTGTGAATCACTTTTAAGTATCCAAAGCACTTAAACACTTCGAGCATCAGATTATACAAAAGGAAATTTTGGTCAAGAATTTAAAATGAAAAAACAAAAAACTTGAAATTTAAACCTTTAAATTAATTTATTTATAAGAATCTAAAGTAAACAGTTGAACCATTGAGTGGGACGACATATCTATGATAGTCACATTGTGCAGCGACTTGCGTTCCATAAAAACTTCAAAATGAAAGTCCAAAAAGTCTTTTGCATAATCACGAATTTACTTGGAGTGAATTTTTTTGAATTTAGAGTTTCAATATTTTCATTCTTTATTTTCCAAACTTTTGCTCAATTCTTCAGTATTTTTGCAATTATTGTGTTTCCATTTTTCCTGCAAGATTATTTCCGTAAAGGCATTTCTTGGTACAGTGGAAACGGAATCTTTGACTTTATTCAAGTATTTCAAGGCTTTGCGCCTTACTTTATACAAAACTTTGTCATAATCAGAGCTTTTAAATTGAAAAGAAAGCAAAAAGATTTAACAATAAAATTAAAATCAAAATTAAGACGTAGCTTTTGGAATTGTGAGAAAAATTTCATGTTTCGGATTTTACTATTTGTGTTTGTAAGAATCACAAAATACCTTTGGGACACGTATTACAACAGCATACTTTTTAACTCACAATCAACTTTTCCTGAATTGATATACTGCGCTAATGACCTCATGTTTGTTTATTATGTTGAGCTATTAATTGAATATTTGGACTGCATTAATCGGAAAGTCAAAATAATCAAAACAAAAAATGACTTAAAGATCATCAAAGGAAATATTTCAGAAGTTTTTGTCCTTAAAAGGATAATTCTTGAGCGATACTCGATCGATATTTTCATCACAATCTTCTTTCATTTCTTACAAACAATATTAGCATTATATTGGACAATAATGAGATTGATTTTCAATCATTTCCAATATTTTAGTGAATTCGCTAACTTCCTTCACTATTTTGAGTTTATTTTCATTTTTTGGATGGTATTCTCGAGATGTGCAAGATTTTATGCAAAGGTAAGAAGTAAATTCTGCTCTTAAAATTAATAATCATCAACAAAATTTTCAGCTTAAAGAAATTGAACTGAATCTCCACAAAAAAACCTTAAATTTTAAGAAATCAGAGTCAATGTTCATCCTTTTGAATTCAAAAGAATCACAATTCATCATTTGTGGAATGATTGCTGTTAAAATTGAGACACTGACTGATGTGAGTTGATTAAATAAATAAGCAAGTTTTAAAATTCTAGAAAAAAAATTTTTGTAGATGTTTTCATCAATTTTGAGTTTTTTTGTGATGATGGTGCAGCTCTTTGTTAAGGATCCTTATCTTTAAACTTGAAGTTATGAATTATTTCAGAATTGATAAGTTCTAATTGCCTGAGCTTTTATCCTCGAAACCAAAATTGTAGAAATTTAAGATTTCAAAGTCTGGTAAAAAAGCTAAAGATCAACTAAAATCAACTTAATCATATTGAATAAAGCCAACGACTGCAAACAAAGAAAACTTCAGTTAGATTCGAAAAATTCAAACTGAAATTCGAAAAATTTCGAACTGTTTCGAACTATTAAATTTTTTAAAAAATAAATGATCGTTAGGGAATTAATAAAAATATATTTATTATAGTTATTTTTTGAAGCAAAATTATTCCTTCTATGTACCAATCGACTTTGAAATTGTAATTTTACTCTAAATTCAACAAAAACTTTTAATAATTTATCAATTGTATCTTGACAATGTTCAAAATCGACTTCAATTTGTGCAATTACTGTATTAATGAATTTTTGGTTAAAGGAAGGATCAGAACATAAGGTAAAACAATTAAGCTGTCTATAAATAAATTCAAGAATACACAAGAAATGTTTTTTTTCACAGAAATATTCAATATTATGCAATTTAAGAAATTCAATCTACTTATCTTTATGCACAGAGCTTTTTGAAAGTTTAAAACAAAGGTATTTTATTGGTTTTCTTTCCTTTACAACCAGTAATTACACAATTTCTGACCATTTTAAAAAAATGAAATTTTATAAATTCAATAAAGACCAAGAAATGTAAACAAATATTTTCAACGGAAATTTTAAATTCAAATCAAGTTCGAAAATGAAGTACCTATTTCCGAAAATGAGTTCTTGTTTGCAGTCGTTGGGAATAAAGTATTTAAAATTTATAATGTTTTTATTTAACATAAAATTTCAGAAAATTTGAATTACAAGCAATAATCTATTTAAACGGATTCACAGTGAAAAGTTGAACCATCATGATGAAGAAATTCAGAACTGCAGAAAACATCTAAAAGAAATCAACTTATGATCATTTATGCTTTCAATTTAAAATACATTTAACTTACATCAGTTAAAGTCTCAATTTTCATACTTATCATCCCACAAATTATGAATTTTGACTCAATTGAATTCAAAAGGATGAAAATTGATTCTGATTTCTTAAATTTTACTGCTTTTGTGTGAAGATTCAGTTCAACTTTCTTTAACTAGAAAAAGTAAAAGTTTAGCATAGTTATTGATTCAAAAATGAAACTTTCAACTTACTTTTCTATAGAAATTCTCACAAGTTGAAAATAAAACATAATAAATGAATATTGGTTCAGGAAAATGCAAGAATGTTGCATATTGATAATACTTCTTTAAATGATTAAAAATGAGTCTCATAATGACCCAATAGAACGAAGTTATTGACAATACAAAATGAAAAAGAATTGTGATGAAAATGTCGATCGAGTATCGCTCAAGAATCTTCCTTTTAAGTTTAAATACTTCAAGAAGCTCTCTTCTAATAGTTTTTAAATCATTCTGTGTTCTCATCATTTGAACTTTGTGGTTTATAAAGTCTAAATATTCAGTCAATAACTCCACATAATACACGAACATTAAATCATTAGATGAATAAATCAGCTCAGCAAATGTAGTTTGTGATAGAAATACTACACTATCGTAGTTAATCACGAACATATGTTTAGCAATTCTAACTGAAACTATAAACAAAATTCGTTTAATAAAGCATCCTTCACATTTGCCTTGAGCAAATTGCAAGTTTAATTTTTGTGACAAATATTTCTGCCTATTTTTCATTAAAATCGTTCTTATTATTACAAAGTTCTGAATAAGAAATGGGAAAATACTTTGATAAATTTGAGTAACGCTGTAGATGCCATTTCCTCGGTACCAAATCTTAGAAGACTGAAATAGTGGATAGTAGAAGACAATTAACTGAATAAAAGATTGAAATACTAAAAGTATGAAAATTGAAACTTTGAAGTCACTAAAATTCAGTCCCAGTAAATTTGTAATGACACAAAATCCTTTTTGAGGACTCATTTCAAGTTTATTAAGTAAACTAAGTTCTTTTTCGATTATAAGCTTGGAAGTTTGATTTGGAAGAAATCATTTAAATCAGAAAAGCTTAATTGACACTTTTAGACAGGCTATAATTCGAAAACATGATTTATTACTTCCAAATTAATTCTTTTCTTGACATTCACTAATTAATCATAAATTTATCTTAAAAAACTCTTTTTTGACCATTGACGTCATGAAATTTAATAAGAACAACAAGATTTTCTGAAAATTTCACCCAACTAGGCATAAAAAGAGTTCAAATTCATCAGTAATCACGTAAACTTCAGCATGAAAGTTCAAAATATTTTCTCAGTAGTTACAAATTGTTTGGGGCTGAATTTCCACGAACTAAAAGCACCGATTGTCATAATAATTGGATTTCAAATTTTTATACTAATTTTCAATGTTTTAGCAATTTTTTATGTTCCATATTTTCACTCAAAATATTCTTGGTACAGTGGACATGGAGTTTATAGTGTTTTGCAGATTTATCAAAGTATTTTGCCTTTTATCATTCAAATTTTTATAATTTTAAATTCTTTCATCAAGAGGAATCAACAAAAATATTTATCACAAAAGTTGAAACCAAAATTCACTCAAAAACTTGGAAAATGCGAAAAAAGTTTCCTAATTCGAGTTGCTTTCATCATTTTGATAAGAACTGCTAAGTTTTCCTGGGGACATAATAAAAATAACGCGATTTTAAACTCTCATTCAGCATTTCCTGAGTTGATTTATTCATCTAATGACTTGATGTTTGTTTACTATGTGGAACTGCTAATTGAATATTTAGATTATATTAATCACAAAATTCAAATGATGAGAACACAAAATGATTTGAAAATCATAAAGCAAGAAATATTTGAGGTTTTTGTACTGAAACGGAGGATTCTTGATCGATATTCTATAGACATTTTCATAACAATCGTTTTTCACTTTTTACTTATGATTGTTGCATTCTACTGGATGATCATGAGAGCCATCTTTGGACGCCTCAGAAAGTTCTTTGAATTCGCGACTTTTTTACATTTTATTGAGCCAATTTTCATTTACTGGATTGTGTTTTCCAAATGTGAAATGTTTAATCAGAAGGTATGTAACTCCTTAACAACAAAGAGATAGATCTGTGCTTTATAATGCAAGAAATATCAGCATTGTAATGTAGATTGAAGTCGAGTTGTTTTGATGAACATTTAAAATCCTTTTCTTTACAGCTCCAGAAAATTGAACTAGATCTTCATATGAAACGAGTTGACTTTAAAAAATCGGAATCTTTTTTCATCCTTATAAACTCGAAAGAATCAAGATTTATTATTGGTGGGATGATTTGCTTGAAGATCGAAACTTTAACTGATGTAATTATTATAAACAAATATTTAAAATTCAAACTGAATCATTATTTTAAATTTCAGATGTTTTCATCAGTAATGGACTTTTTCGTTATGATGGTTCAATTATTTGCCATAGATCCTTATAAATAGATTGACATAAATGTTGATTTGAATCTAAAGAATAGTTCAAGTCAAGTTCAAAAGGCTACAACAAACATTGTTCTATAATAAATCATATATTTCATACATCAACAATTTACCAAGAATAAAAAATAATCAATAAGCTTCAATCAGTAAGTTTCAAGAAATCTTTTAATTGCATCTAAATTTATAATTGTGATTCTCACTTCATTAACATAAATAGCTGCTTCAAAAAATAGCATACGCATTAGTCTCTAAAATTTCTTCGACTATGAAAGTTTATAGAGCATTCTGCATTGTTACAAATTGTTTGGGATTGAACTTTTATGATTTTAAAGCTCCAATTATTTTATTTATATTTTTTCAATTTTTTGCTCAAAGTTTGAACATGTTTTCAGTGTTTTACTATCCTTACTATATGGCACCTGAGTCATGGTACAGTGGACATGGAATTTATAGTGTTACTCAAATCTATCAAAGCATTTTGCCGTTCCTGATTCAAAATTTAATCGTGTTAAGAGCATTTTTCATGAGGAATCGACAAAAATATTTATCAGATAAATTGCGACCGCATTTTACTCAAAAACTTGGAAAATGTGAGAAAGACTTTCTAAGTCGAGTGTTTTTCATCATTTTTGTAAGAGTTGCTAAATATTTGTGGGTACCGGATGAGCATAGTGGAATATTTAACTCACATACAGCATTTCCTGAGTTGATCTGCTCATCAAATGACTTAATGTTCATTTATTATGTTGATTTATTGATTGAATATTTAGATTTTATAAATTGCAAGACTCAAATGATGAGGACACAGAAAGATATGATTATCATCAAAAGAAGAATTTGTGAAATTTTTAGCCTTAAACGCAAAATTCTGGAACGATACTCAATTGATATTTTAATTACAATCTTTTATAACTTTATCCTTACAATTATTTCACTTTATTGGGTCATCATGAGGCTTATCTTTAGAGATCTAGAGCACTTTGCTGATTATGCAACATTTTTGCACTTTCCTGAGCCAATGTTTATCTTCTGGATTCTATTCTCAAGATGTGAAAAGTTTTATGCAAAGGTAAGTAGCAGTTTGACTTGAAATCAAGTTTAATTATTGATTATCTTCGAATAAGATTTTTGATAAGAAGTACTTTGTGATTTAGGTGAAACTTCTGAATTCTATAATTACAGATCCAGGAAATCGAACTTAATCTTCACATGAAAAACGCCAATTTTAAGAAATTGGAATCAATTTTCATTCTCTTAAACTCAATCGAGTCTAAATTCATCATTTGTGGAATGATTTTTATGAAAGTCGAGACTTTGACTGATGTAAGATTTTCTTAAAAGTTCAGAATGAATAGAATTATTTATTTTAGGATATTAATTTCTTTTAGATGTTCTCTGCAATCATGGACTTTTTCGTCATGATGGTTCAGTTGTTTTCGGTTGATCCACATGAAATCAAAGAACCAAAGGAAAAAGAATGATTAATTGACTGAACTTTTTAAAATCGTTTCCTGTTGTTAATAAATTATTAATCATCCTCAACTTGGAATAGTTTCCCGAATGGAAATAAAATTATCAATTTGATCAGATATAAGCTTTTTATGTTAACTTCTAAGAATTTTTATCAAATTTGATTTATAAAGGAAGGTTCACATTTACTAATTCAGTCGGACGTCAATCCAATTCAGTTCACGAGCATTTATCAGAATGATAGTAAGGAAAATATTTTGTGGACTGACAAATTGTTTAGGATTGTGTTTTCATGACATTAAGGTTTCATTAATATTGATTTTTGTGGTTCAAATATTAATAAATATTTTCAATATTCTTGCAATCTTTTACGTTCCTTTTTATAAATCAAAACGTTCGTGGTATAGAAGACATGGGATATACAGTGTTATTGAAATATATCAAAGCATTATTCCTTATATTATTCAAACCTTTCTGATTGCTAAATCTTATTTAATGAGAAATCAACAGAAATTCTTATCAGAAAAATTAAAGCCAAAGTTTACACAAAAATTGGTAAATGCGAGAAGAATTTTCTCATTCGTGTGCTTGTGATCATTTTAATAAGAATTACAAAGTTCGTTTGGGGAAGAAGTAAAACTAGCATAATTTTCAATTCTCATACTACATTTCCTGAGTTAATTTACTCCTCAAATGATTTAATGTTTGTGTATTATGTTGAGCTACTGATTGAATATTTGGACTTTATAAACCACAAAGTTCAAATGATGAGGACTCAAAATGACATGAAAATCATCAAAAGGGAAATCTTTGAAGTATTTGTACTTAAAAGAAAGATTCTTGAGCGATACTCGATGGATATTTTTATTACAATTTCATTTCACTTCTTGGTCCTAATAATTTCATTTTACTGGGTCATCATGAGGCTTCTTTTCAATCTATTAAAAAGATTTGATGACTATGCGACATTCCTTTATTTTATTGAGCCAATCTACATTTACTGGATAATGTTTTCAAAGTGTGAAGAATTTTATTTTAAGGTAATGACTAAATTGATTCTTAACCTTTTTTCTAATTCACATCTAATATTTTTCAGCTTAAGCAGTTGGAACTAAATCTTTATTCGAAAATAGTGAAATTTAGAAAGTTAGAATCACTTTTTATCTTAATGAATTCAATCGAGTCTAGATTCATAATTTGTGGAATGATTTCTATGAAGATTGAGACCTTAACTGATGTAAGATTAACTGTCCAAGCTTTACAACACTTTGATTTAATTCCAGAATTCTATTGTAGATGTTTTCAGCAATTGTAAGTTTTTTTGTCATGATGGTCCAAGTATTCACTGCAGATCCTCGAAAGTAAATTGTCTGATGATTCTTTTTGTGTCATACAAAACATAAAGAACCAATCTTGCTACCTAACGCAACACTCTTCCAACAACGACTGTAATTAATAAATTATTCAAAAATTACAAATTCATTCAAAACGTTTTCGTCATTAAGAAAGTTGTAAGAATGCAAGATTGTCAGTTGAATTTGTGATGATGATGTGTTAAGAGTAAAACCACAAGAAGTTTTGAGATTGCATGATTTTTAAGCAGAGTTGGAGTTAATAAAAGGCTCAAAAATTATATTTTGATTTGTTTTGTGAATTTTTGATTCTTATAATAGTATTAAATGGTGGAAATTCAGCTTTAGAGCCTAGTTTTTAAAACCTAATGTCTAAAACTATAACCTAATGCCCAAAACATCCTAAAATAAAACTTTTGAAAATCAGGAATGCTTTTTGCAAGCTCCAACCTCCTATTCAGTATTCACTCCATCTTTCAAGGTGATATCAATTTCAGATTTTAACAATAAGTGCAGCAAACAAGAATTTTCTTCGCCTCACATGAGATCTTGGTGGGTATGTAAATATTTCGTGTGGTTACTTCCATGAGGTTTTACTTCAGAAATTATCTCAAACAATCAATTTCATTCTCATCTAGAGAAATTTTACTGAAGAATGAAATAACTCCTCAATGTTTGGAGCTGTAAGATCCTTTGTGGTGAATATTTTCAGGTTATTTAGGTTAAATTTGAATTGTATAGAGTTCTCCTGGATGTTGATAATTTAAACTGGTCCAACAAAACAGTTGTAATGCACAAAATCTTAGTTTACTCATCAAAAGTAAGTTTAGTTGTCTATTGATTGAAAATTCTCAATCTTTTTTAATTATAACTTGCTGTAAAAGACGCATTATACCATCAACTTTTAGTTTCTAAGACTAGATACTTTGTCGACTCTTCCAATAGAATCCATCCTAAAGAGTGCATTCAAAAATCTCCACAAGGATTCATGTTTACAATTTTTTTTCCTCAAGATGCATTCGCAAAAAGTATCTCATGTAAATAGCACAGCTCTAAGACAAAAAGTTTGTCATTTCCGTCCCTATTTTTTGCGAACCCCATCCACACAATTGTCTTTCATTCTTCCACATACACAAATTCAAGGAATGTATTCACATGTGAGTATTTCTACTACAGTCGGTCCCTCTTCTATAAGAAAAAAAAAACTGTAGAAGCAAGGAATAAGGAGATGTAATGTAATATCATGAACCAATTATTTACGGTATAACGAGAAGAGATATGCTTCTTTGGTGAAGGAGAAAATTCAAAATGTAAATAATTTTTTTAAAATTTATTATTTCACTCGTCTTGAAGGAGCACCGGAATATGTTTGCAATTTATAGAAAAAGAATGAGAACATCCAAAGAGACCTCATTCTACTGCCTCGATTTCTTTTTTCACAATACATTTACTTCATTATAATGCTTCACTAACTATATTCGGATATAGCAAATGAGATATTCATGAAGGAGAATCGGAATTGATGATGCTTTATTGGGAATTGTTAAATTATTGCTTATTGTAATTATTTTCATTTTGTCTGGGTTTGTTTTTTAAATTTGTTGTTTTTTCCACTTCTTCTGTTTATTTAAAATTTTCTTGGTATTAGAATAATAATAAGGTGGAATATGGTGTGGAAGGAAAACGTTCAGGGATTTGGATGGTTTATGGAAATACTAACGTGTTGTTTTATTGGCTAGGTGAACTTTGGCTTATTAGCAAACGTTGATGATGTTTGAATGCTATTATATCCTAGATATCAGTCTAGTTGCTCAAGATATTGAGAATTGCCCACTTTTATATTCTTCTTCTTCTTCGATGACCTTACAGATCAATTGTGATCCATGACCTCCCATCGAAGGCACCTAAAGCTCTATCACTGGCTCCCGCTTGCCAATTTCCTATACCAAATGCAATACTGTCTATATCAACAGCCTTTGGTCTTTCAAGAGTTCAAACGAAAGATCTTTTGATGTCCCAAACCTAACCGGATCAAATCTTTTAACAGTCATTGATCCATCAACTCATAATTCCTTCCCATCAACATCTTAAACTCCACCAAAACCCCTGAATCTCAAGAATATCATTAAAATGCATTAAAATCCATTCCTTCATACAATTCTCTCAACAATATCAAAAACTGCAGACCATAAAAATCCCAAATCCACCAAAAAACCATAAACCAAACCTTAAAGTATTAACTAATGGAATAAATGGCTCATAAAAAGACATTCAAGCCAAATCTTTTCGTACTTTTAAAATTGAAATAAAGAAAAAACTTCAAATCGATATCATTGTTTGCATATCTCATTGGGAATTTGAAAAATGATCACATTGTATGTGCGGTAATGTCTCAATTATAACTCAATCTTATATCCACCCCCTATGCATGTCTTAAAATATCTCTATCAACCGCGAATATGTTTGTTATTGCATTATTTTTTGCGATAAAAAGAAACTCACGTCGATAAACACACGATTTTTTGTAGCTCGATAATCCTCACGTTACTCACGACATGCGATATTAAGGCATTGAATTTTTCATGAATTGATTTTTATTTTTTGCTCTCTGTGTAAAGAACCCCTCCAATATTCGCAAAAAAATAAAGAAAAATTCATTGCGATTTTTTATTTCATTTTAAATTGTTGAATTTTTGTTTTGTCTGTAGCGACTAGGGTGGTGGTTGTTGTGGATGTTTGATGTGAGTATGTCACCTTTAATGAAACATATTTTACTCCTCAATAATGATATTAAAGACTTTATGTTTTTGTCTTGATAATACAATTTTGTGATGTGTAGGAATTACTTATTTTTTGCAATAATTAGATGGGGTGGAAATGAATGAAGGTTGAAATTGGATTGTCTGATTGGATTCTAGTGTTGAATTATTTTAGCAAAGACTTTACACTTCATTGTAATTTTGTAGAGTTGTCATTTTAGCAGTTGAACGAGTAGATCTAGTAGTGACTAAGGTCTAATCCATCTAGAGTTGAATTTATAACCTATAACTGAGAAACCAGTTTCTGGATCATTTACTTTACCGAATTCAAAGTTTCGCTATGGTTGCAACTGCTAAGAAGTCTCATCAGACAATCCAAACCAGCATGGAATTAAAAATGAGGAAACACCAAAGAAATGAGCAACTGAACTATCAATCGCAGTCACAAAAGAATTCTTTTACTTTCGCATTCAATTTAAGGATATTAAATTTACACGATGTTATTGGCATTAACTTGGGGTGCAAAAAAAATGTGAGGAAGGTGGAGGTGACAAAATAAAAAGAGCAGCAAAATGTGAGGGAGGGAAATAAATGTGTTTGCGAAATAAACCGCAAATTACACATGAGAAAACATAAATACAAAAATATTTTATTTGATTTTTGATTCATTCATACCTCCTCATGCCTGAGTTTAATTTAATTTTTGACTTTATTTTTTAGACTTTGATGTCTTTTATTCAATCCGCATTTAAAATGATAAGAGCATTGAAGAAGGGAAAGCATTAACAATGATGGATTGTTCCTTTGATATATCAAAACATTTAAACACGAGTAGCACTTTTGAATTGGAAATCTTTGAGTAGATGTGTCGAACGTGATGTGAATTCTGTGCATCAGACTACGTCCTCTTCAAAATATCAATTGACTAAATTATGAAAAGTTTTATTTTTTTTTCATTGCATGTGTCGCCAAAATCGAATTGCATGCAACTCGATGAGGTATAGAAAATTACTGATATGCATAAATAACTTATACGTGTGGCAATATTGCATTTTCACAGTTTACATTTTTATCCCTTCGGACTACAATATAGTTATTGCTATATTTCCTTTATACACATTAGGAAAAATCAATTGTGCTAATGATATTGAAGCATGTTTGAACTTACCCAGTTTGAAGGATTTTGAGGTTAGGTTTTTGTATAAATCTTCTCATTAACTCCTTATTCAATAGCTTGATCTTCGATTTCATTTTGTCTAATTCTTAGTTTAACTTTTCATTTGCTTTTCTTGAGAACACAAAATCACTCCTGAACCTATAAGGAAAGGCATCCATCATGATCCGAACCTTCCTATCTGGGTATACCTATTGCTTTATAATAAAGATAAATATTTATTTCCTCAACATATATTCGCGCATTCTAATGTCACTACAATTTTCCAAATAGATTTCAATCAAGTGATAAGAGCACGCGAATTAATGGAATATTCAGATGGATAAAAAAGTAAATTGTAAGCATATCGTGCACATATTCACAAATATCTATTAATTTCTCCTTCCTTTTCTTCTTCGATTGACATGAATAATTCAATGTTTCGTATCAGGCAATTTAAATCAACAAGAATGAATGTACTTTAAATGTAAATTGCTGTTGTTTTTTATGTGCGGCGTGTGACAAATGTAGTGAGCAATTTTAGCAAATCGATTGAATATAGGAAATGCAGAAGGAAAGCATATTTAAGTAGGAAATTCTTATTGTTTTCTGCAACCCTTTTGATTTAAGTTATTTCGATATTAATTTTCATAAAATGTCAATGACTAAGACGATTTTTGGTGTTTGGGAGGGTTATGGACATGTTGGGTGACTAGATTGTTAAGTTAGGAAGATGTTAGAATACAATAATGATATAAGATAACCAAAAAATTGATCCTATTCGTCTCTAATGACTCTAGAAAGCTTGTTTTGTCAAAAAACTTATCTAAACTAGTTCAATTGGCATCCTTACTAGCTATATAGCCTCTGAATAATCAAATAAAATCTTTCACATTACAATATAAGATGAGATGATAATCAAAAATATTCAAATTGACAAGCGAAAGCAATTTTTGTGATGGAAAAATTTTTCAATATTTTTAATAATCTCAATTGTTCAAGAAAGAGAAAAAAAGGGGCAATAAAAATATATAAGCGAGAACTGGAACCAAAATAATATCATGCGACATATCCAAGGAAATAAAAATGAATAAAAGAGATATGACAAATCATAAAAATGGTAAAAAGCATTCTTTATAGACCGAGAAGGAGAAAATATTTTTTTGGCATTTAACATACAAATTCAATATTTTTCTATATGTACTGTTTTAGAGAATGAAATTGAGCTGGATATCGCTTTTAAAAAAATTTCTATAATAATCCCGACTACATTCCACTTTAGTCTATCATATACATATTTTTTGATGTATTTTGCCCCCCACACTTACTTGACTTGCTTGTTGTTCTATAACTTGATAAAGAAAAATGACAATAAATATTTTTTTTTGCTCATCTCCATAGGCATCGCCGTCGTTTCTGTTTTTGCATAAATATGCTGTCTCATCTGAAATCAAATAAAAAGAAATATGAATGAATAATATTCAACGTCGATGTATACAAGGAAGAAGCCAATATGTAAAATAAGTAGAGTTGATATGGTGAGTATGTACATATGGGCTATAAATACGCAAATATATAGATATGTGTATTATTATTTGCATACATAACTTGAGGCAAAAACAATAAAAAGAAAATAATCCAAATAATGTGACATGGGAGGCATTTAGGAATGTATATTTATGTTAAGTATGACATAACTTTTTGATTCTTTTTGCTTGATTTGATGTCTTTTTTGGAAAATTTCTTTTTATTTGCTTCAAGTTTGTTTTATGAAGTAAATTTTTCCTCGGTAGTCTAGTGGTGAGCATACTTAAATTTGACTTACCTTATGTACTTACTGGTGATTATACTTACGAAAAGATGCGGCTTTAAATTAAATTTCTAAAAACAAATGATTGAAGAATAACAGCTGACATTTTAAATGTCATCAAACTAGAAAATTTGATAAGACTCTTTAAATATGGTGCAACTGTGACACTGACATTGCGTTTAAGCATTGAAATTCACACCAGACTCATCAATTGATAACACTGATGGATGAGACATTGAACTGCAATTAAAATTCAATTTGACTTTTGATCACTTTTATCAGCTGTTTTTAATTAATTTAACAGTTTCCGCGGCATTTTAAAGCGGAGATAATTTCACTGGATTAATAATCTCTTATAAGTAAAATTTTTAATAACGAAAACATTTTTGCTATCCAAATTTATCACAAAACTTGTAAAATTCCCTTCCATTCCTTCATGTTTTTCAATCCATCATGAAGTTTCAGGTCCTCTTCATCATAACTTTGTATTCCATACAAATTAAAGTTCTTAACTAGCTTCTTCCTCCTTATTGACTCAATCATAAATGCACTTAATTCAGCTAGTTGTAAGTTTGTTGGCATTTTTGCCGTAAAGTCTCCTATAAATCCCACGACAATACTTTGATTTTTATTGAAAGTAGCTGGAAATCCACTTGCGTAGTTCCATCCTCGTATCTCATACGAATCACCAGAGTCGCTAATTAAAAAGTTGAATGGAATGTCAGCAAGGTCATCTTGCTACAAAATAAACAAATTGAATCATCACTAGCTGAGCTTATATGTTATAACAAGCTGATTAATGATTTGTTTTGTAAATATTGAAGGAATTAGCTAAGTTTACGGATTGTTTAAAATCTAGGAAGGTATGTAAAGTCAATTTAGGTCACTAAAGCTATCAAAGCCAAGTCCGCCCTTGAATTACTTAAGGCTATTAATGTCAAATACTTCCAGAACATAATAAATCACTCTAGCGTGAAGACTGATAATACTTACAATCATTTTATTAATTAACGTAAAGCACATTTTTGTTGAATAACAGTGCTGCCCACGTGTATGAGAGACAATAACATTTGTGACAGGCAGTTGAAGTCTTGTTTCATTCGAAAATATTTTACTGTCTATATTTTCACCGTACCAAGCATTTAATTCGATTAATCTGTATCGAAAATTTGCATCTTGTTCCTGATCTAAAAATGTGCAATTAAAGCTAGTTAAGTTTAGATTATTGTTGAAATAGGTCAGTTAATTTTACTCTCAATTACTAGCAAATAAATTCCAATTGATAATCCTATTGCGAGAATAAACAGCAAGCTCAACACTTTCCAATTAATTATAGATTCATGCTGTACGCTTCGTCTGCGTCGTCGAAAGAATAGTGGAGTTCCTTCATGGATCATCACAATGTCTGACCCTGAAAGATCCTTACTTATAGTCTCTTTTGTTGAGTATAATTGAATTATGGAATATGTTTTAGAAATCGAGCCTAAATTAATGACACAGACAGGATGAAATGAAATGATAAAAGATCCAGTGAGATAAAAAGAAACATCCAGTACAATACAAATTAAGCTAAAATCCACTAAATACATGCCATAATTCATTGCGACGAGTGTATTTAATCTTCCGGGTCATAAATAAGTTACAGTTGATTACAAATTAAGTTAATAAAATTAATAAAACACAAAAAATTCGCTAGTCATAAAAAACTGAGGAATTTCATCCAGTAAGCACAAATCAACAGAATATAGTATAATTAATCACACTACACAGTAAATAAAATTATTTATCGAGTAATAATCCAGATTTGTTTGACTAATTTGTTGAGAAATCACAAAGCGACTGACACATTGTTTCTCTGTGATAAAGATTATAATATTAATGCTCTCGTTCTCGTTTTACGCTTTTATTAAACATCACTTGTTTGTTTAATTCTAATTATAGATTATTTTCTTAAAATATTTGATTTATTTTTTTTTTTTCCTGAGAATGTAAACAAAAATAATAAATTCTGAGTGCGATTTTCACTTATAGTCGCTTCTGATGACTTTTTGATACATTCATGTCATTAGTCATGTACATCATGAATCATTATGTTTATATGCTGCTTATTAGGGCTTGTCACAACAGAAAAACATGATTTTTAAGCATCTTTATGATTTTAAAAATTCAACGGTCTTTTGAAATTCAAACGAAAATTCCAGAACTTAATCACAGCAAAAACCCCACAAAAGCACTTCTAATCGATAAGCCACACTTGCTATAATAAAACAACACCAAAAAGCTTATAAGCTATAAGCTTATAAGATAAATCTATATTATAAAAATTAAATCAAATTGCTTAATGAAATACTCACATTTTCGACATATTCCATCAATATGTAGGCACTCACCTATAACATGTTGATGTGGTTTGCAGAAATCATTTAACTATTAATTACAATTCCTCCACATAAATGATAATCGAATTTTCTCTATAAATAGTCCAAACCAACAAAAATTTTCATTTCCCAGCAGTTTCATTATCCGCATCATCATTCCAAATTCCCTCGTCGATGATGATATGACTGCAATGTGGTGTTGTGTACATATGGATCATGTATATCTCCTTGTATAATCTGAAAGAGGATTCAATGTGTAAATTTTTAATTTACCAATTAAACAATTTAACATAAATCAAGTGAAATAATCAACTTGAAATTTAATTATTAATCTGCCTTCAAATACAGTCACCGGCAATTTTTGGGGGAAAGCGATACAGTTACTGCATTGGCATTGGCGTTAACAGCATGTTGGATATGTATGAATGTATTTATGGTGCAATGTATCACACTTCAAACTCAATTTCAATCGAATTTTCGAGTTTTCTGCTGATGATACGATGTACATGATATGTTTTTGGGGTGAATGTATGATTTAGCAGGGTTTGGAGTTTAAGAAGAGATTGGTGTTGATGGATTTTGTGAATTCTTGGTATGGTTTTTGGTTTCGATCCGAAATTTTGGATTTAAGGAACAAATTTGGCACAAATTCCAATGATTCGCAAAACCAACCGACAACCCACAAAAACTAAAGACATCCAAACAAACATCAAAGAAAACTTCATAACAGATCAAAATCATCTTAGATCAGATCAATTCCAGCCAAACCCTGACCCAGCGACCTGCAAAAAAGTTAAATTTAAAATTCAATTTTTTTCACTCTACGTCATTTACCGCTGCTTAACCCATTCATCCTTGTATCTATTTGCAATGTTTCGAAATTCCATTTAAATTTTTATTTTTTCATTCTTCACACTCGAAATGAAATGAAAACCAATCTATTGCACATTTCACATATGCCATTTGTTGATATTATTGCAGCACAAAACAGTGGAGAAAATTGTTCTTTTATTTATTTTGTATCTGCAATGTATTGAAGGGCAATTTGACGGGGTTTTAAAAAAAAGGGTTGAAAATTACACTTATTCACACACCGTCATAAATTATGGCCTTTCTATTTCACGCATCATCAACCACCAGCAAGTGCTGTCTGATATGTTTGTTGACGCTTCTCCACCCACTTAATTGTGATGCTGAATTTCCTGTTGAGAAGTTTTAAGCTAATGTTTTTTTGTAAAGATTCCTTAATGATTTGTATTTGTTCTTGAAACTAACATGAAATACTTCCGATTCTATTACTTTAGAACTATTTTCATGTTCTGAATCATCTTTTGTAGGAATGACGGGAAATATTCTTTAGAAATTGTCGGTTTGGAGGTAGTTATTGCTTTAGATAAAAGTGTAAAGTTGTTGAAAGAGATTAAATGTCAAGGGATTGGAATTTTCAATGTTAATCTTTGAAAAGTTGAATGAATCTTGTTACTGGATGTTGATCAATCATTGAATTTAAGTCAAAAAGTGTTGTGTTGTAGGTTGAATCAATGGAAAACAAAGTTAAGGAGCATAATCTAAAGAGAAACTTTAAGTAACAACAATTCATCAAGTTAGAGGAACAAAAGAGATTATTTTAATATTTTATTAAATTTCCCGCCAAAACTCATCAACATTTCTCAACTTCCCATTCCAATCTTTGTCCAAATTCTTCCATCTCCTTAATAAATGTTTATTCCCCAAAAACTACCATCCAGCAAAACTCCCAGACTTATTAAGGAAGGAAACTATCTATTTTTATCACCATCCAATACCATCCACCTATTCCCATCTTTTCCATTCGATTGTATGTTTATTTACTTTAATTAAACTTTATTATCGTTGTTTTGTTTAGAAACAAGTGAGTAAGCAAAACTTCTACAGCCACAACAACACAGCAAATAAACAATTCCGTTCAACTCTCAACCCACAGTTGATGTAAATTTTCGCCTTTTTGTTTTCACAATTTATAATCTTAATTTCATTCCAATTAATTGAACCTAAATAAAGCTAGGAAGTTAGCTATGCTGAAAAAGATTTTCACTTTCTTTGTTCCTCCTTTATGCTGCCGCAGATGAATAAAATACACTTAATATTAAATTTCGGTGTAAATTGCAGCATGTGTGGATGCGAACGTTTTTCAGCGTTTACACTTGAATGAGTAAAAGTTTTTACGGGAGATAAATAAATAAGAATTTACTGATAGTTTTGTATTCATTGAATTTTTGTAGTAAAATCTAATCTAAATGAATGTGAAAGTTTTGTCTTATTCGTGTGTGAGGTGCTGAAGTAGGGGTTCTAATACTGGATTCTTAAGAGTTTTGGATGAAATTTGGCGCTAAAAAATTGTAAAATTAGAAATCGAAAATTTTTAATTCCTTAACAAACTTTTCAATATTAATTCACTCGAAATCATAAGAAATCTTACTTTATAATCCCTAATTCAGTTCCAAACACATCTTTTAATTATAAATCCTCGTATCTCTATCTCTCTATTTATTCATTAAAGATTTATGCATAGTAAAATAATGAAAATAAACTTGAAAAATAGAAAACGAAACTTCTAATTAGAAAACAAAAGAATATTTTATTCAAGGAACTTACTTCCATTTCCCTTTCGATTTTAAAAAAGCAAATATTTTTCTATCTCAAGAAATCAAAATGTAATCTTTAAAATTGAATTTGTGGAAAATCTCATTTCATCCCGAAGGAATGTTTCTTACCCTAAAAAAATCAAATTTATAAGTTCACATGAATCAAATAAGAATATAATCTTACCCATAACTTGGTCATTTTACAGTCAAATTCAGGCAAATCAATTGAATAAATTGTAGATTTAATAAATTTTTGCTCCTTTTATCTTCCTTTTCCTGTTAACCCATGCGAGTATGTAGATGTGTTTTTCATTTTTCCATTGATTCAATAAAAGAATTTGTTATTTTGAGGAAAAACATACGAGTTAGGGTTGATTTTAAGGAGATTTCTGAACGCATTTGAATATAAATTTCAAAATATGATTAAGGCTAGAGGCATAACTTCAAGTTTTGAAGCTTCAAGTCTCAATCATTCTGAAGCGATGCTTTAGATTTGAAGCAATACTTTATATTAAAAGCGATGCTTCAGTTTTGAAGCATTTTTAAAGCAAAATTTGACCTGACAATCAGCCAGCTCAATCTCAAACTAAAATCGACACAATCAACTATAAAGTAACAAATTTTTGATCCTTGAGAATTTCCTTATACACATCCCTCCGTCCACAAACATTTCTCTTCATACATTTGTTTCTATCATCCTCTTTCCTTCAATACTACTGCTTACTGGCTTGTTAACTTGACTGAGGGTGAATTTGTAATGAAGATGATTTTTCTTGATATGAATAAAAGGCTATTTTATGTTTATTGAAAAAAAAAGTCAAATAATGTTCTTGGATATTTCTCGAGAGTCGGAACCGGCAATAACAAGACCAAATTTGAATAAATTGAATTGAAATTTATTTCACAAGAGAGACTTTTCTTCTTTATAACTTGCTTAAAATGATGAATTGGCAGGAGGCCGACTCATCATTCATCAGCATTCATGATTTGTTACAATTTATTTTTTATTTTATTCTTTTTTATGCCTTATTTAACATGGAAATGAATTAAGAGCGAAATTTCTTCTTCAAATTATGGAAAAAAATGTAATAAAAAATTGTTGTGAAGCAGTGTTGCATTCTGGCTATTTGTCTGGATCAGATAAATTCTGAGACAGAAATTTCTCCATAAAATCGATTCTACATGTAGAAAGAAAAAAACCATCTACATGTAGATTGTGTCTACATGTAGAATCTGTCTACATGTAGATTTAATGTAGATGTCTACGATTCTACATTCTTCTCTGATGTAGACCTGGAAAAAATGTAGAATTATAGACATCTACATCGAATCTACATGTAGACAGATTCTACATGTAGAAACAATCTACATGTAGATGGTTTTTTTCTTTCTACATGTAGAATCGATCTTTATGAAGAAAGTTTCTTAGCTAGACAAAAACTATTGAAGAATCTACATTCTTCATCTAGTGTAGACATCTACATTTGCAACACTGTTGTGAAGGAAATGAGCAGTTGAAGATGTTTAAGATTATTGAATTAAATTTATTTTTGGAAAAATAATATTGCTTGAGATCATTAATTGGTATTTTCAATACTCAAATTTATATTGAATTAAATTGAAATATTTAATATTCAACTTTCAAAGGAATAATTTAAAAGAAGTAGGTAACGTGGACAATAGAAAGTTAATGGAATTTTTCTGAGAAACGTTTAAAGTGAACCTTACGTAAAACTTGTATTTTCGGATTTTTTTTATTAATTTGTAAGCTTTGAGATATTTGTTAACACTTTTGTAGCTCTAAAATCCCTTGCTCCTCAAAATACTTTATATCAAGGCATAAATCATTAGTAATCACTCTTTAGATATTGAGAATTTGATAGAAGAAATCACGAGGTGGAACTACGTAAACGTAAGATATTACGTAAGTATTTTTACGTTGTTGTAGCTTTTTATAATTATTCTAAGACTGATTAAGCTTATATTAAAAAAAATTTTAAATATATTCAAATGCTCACCAAAAACCTTAAAGTAGCAATGTTAAAAATGCTCACCTAACCTAAATACTCCATATTAATTAAACCTTGATTACGGAATTAATATAAATACCATCTCAAATCACCACAAATTACAAATTAAAACTTATGACATAATAAAATGGGTGAAATAAGCAGAGAAAAAAATTGCAACAGCACAAAATCATAGAACAGAAAAAACTGTAGAAAGAGCCAAGCGCGAAAAGTAAATAAATATTAATTAATTAACACTTTTAATTGGAAAGGATCATAAATTTAATTTGAAAAATATTAAAATATAAAATATTAATTTACCGCGGCTTTTTTTTCTTCTCTTGATTCATTTTGACTGTTGGCAATTTTAAGTGTCTTTCTCGAGATCCTTTTCCTCGCTTTTATTACAGTGCTCTGTATTTGTATCCGTTATTTTATTTTTGCTCCTTTTGCTATGTGGGCGCGCGAGAGGAAAGAACAATAATTTACAATTTATTTGCTGTTACTGCTTACTTCATTTTCTTCTTTGTAGAGTGACGGGATTTTAGGGATTTAAGTGGAGAATTTTGAATAAATTAACAGTTTTACTTGTTATCATTCCCGAGTGGCACATTGTGGAACTGTCATTCATATGGATGGTTTTGATGACATTTGACTGTTATTATCATAAAGTTACACTCAAAATTTAAACTATTGCTGTGTGAATTTGTTGTAAACTACTTCCTTATTTGTCCTTAATTGGTACTGCCAATCATTCTAACATCCGGTCACAACCTACCCCTATCCCACACTTGACTGCCTGAATTATAAAAATACACTCAACTACCCTTTAATTAAATGCAATGTGATATTCATTCCTTTTCATCTCATTCCTTCTGCCATCATCTTAGGGACAAACGACGGCGATGATGACGATGACAATGATGATAAAGATTTTTTTTTTGGTCTCCTCTTCTCTGTCGCATTTAAACTGTAGAAAAAAGTGGCAAAGTGGCACTCATTTAATTGTAGTTTATGTCCAATTTCCCCGGATATTACATTTTTTTGAGAAATTTAAATAATAAAACATTTTTCTCAACTGTTTTTAAGTCATTGCTGGTCTGTACTGTTGATAACAAAAGTTTACATATTTATGAATCCTCAGCTTTGTAGCTCACAGCTCATTTGGACATTTCACAATAAAAAAATTTCCTCTCATTTTCTTTGTGTTTTGTTTTTGGAGCTTGATTTTTTAATGAATTGAAGTGGATGTGGTCAGTTTGAGTTTAGGGATTATTTTGATCTATTTGTGAATGATTATGCTTCAATTAATAAGCCAGTGAATGATTATGATGAATATTTTAATTTTTTTATCTAATAAAGCCTTTGAAAGTATCGAAAAATTCGATTTGGTTAAGAATGCGCTCTAGTTCGTCAATTCACAAAATCCACGTAATTCTCCTTCTCATAATATATGTACGAAAACACTCACAGAGTGTGCAACAGTGAGAGAATACATGCATAATTTCAAAAGAAAGTTATGGCGTGTTTTGTTTTGAATAATGATGATACATGAGTACTTTACAATGAGTTCCTTCATGTTCCATGTTTATACTTTGTGTGGATAAAACTAATGTGATAACAGATAATGGGATTTTTTGGCAGTTTTGTAGCTTTTCCTATTACAAATGTTAATTGCTAGGTTAGGTTTGAAATTGGTTGTGATTTGTATTTGATTGTGGGATAGTTAAAAGAATCTTATGTTTTTGAACGTGCTCACATTTTAAAAAACAAAATACAAAAGAATTTCTTCTATTCAATGCTTATTTGCGAAGAAGATTCAAGTTGGAAACGTGATATGAAGATTCCATCCAAAAATGATCATAAATCCATTGTCGTTGATGTCAAAACTTACAATGAAGTCAAAAATTATATTTTTCATATATTCATTCTTAATTACAAATTCATGGAATGCCGAGAAAGTGGTCGTAGACAAATATAGCAAAACAGAGGTCCCATCACAGAGAGTTGAATATATTTCAGATAATATAAAAAATTTTAATTCATTTGAAAATTTATTTATTTTGTGAATCTTGGAAATTTATTTAAAACATAAAATATTATTATTATTATTATTATTATTATTTATTCAATTAGTTTGAGAAGCCAGAGCATCGTCATGGCTTCATTACATTAAAAACAATGGTACATTTAGTTCCTCTTATCGATATAGCCATGTCTGTTGCTTCTTATTTAAGATTACATTATGTAACGGATGCAACTCCGTCATTTTCTGGCTCAACTGTGCGAGGTTGTCTTTTGAGTCGTGGTAGAATTGAGCAAAGAAAGAAGCATGCAAAACACATCATACCAACAAAAGCAAAAAGCGAAATTGATCCAAGAACTATAAATGCAACTTTTTGCCAAGTAGAAAGTTGATCAAAGGAATTGCTGAAAGTTTTTCAAAATTTTAAGATTGTAAAATTTTATAAAAGTTATGACTCACATTTTTTGTAGACCATTGTCGAAAAACTTGTGAAAAATGCCGAAAATCAATAAATATAATGTCTTGGAAAGTTCGATCGACAAATGATAATAGAACTAAAATTTGACTATGTTGTCTTCAAAACTAATATTTATTTTTAATATTTTAATATTTATTTAAAAGAAGTCAATGTAGAGTTTAGATTTAAAATTAGTTGAATCAATTGTTGGATGGAACGTCATCATTTTGTTGATCAACATTTCTAGCAGCTGATCTTGAACAAATCCAAATAATGAATAGACATATACAGAAAGCAATAAATGAAATTCCTAATACAGACAGAACAATTATAGCCAATTTTTCCCAAACACTTAATTGATTATAAGGACGAGCTAAAAAGTAAGAATTTTAAGCCAGTTGAATTCAATTTGTTCAATAAATTCATTTTTGAAACTTACTTCGTTTGTTCATTTTCGAAATTGAAGTGTCAAAATTGGAATATATATTATCAGATTTCCATATCTAAATTGATTCTTAAACTTCTTGACCTTCGAAAAAGTTACGCAATAGTTGCAACTTTATTGTTCCTTAAACTCATATTGAACATTAGTTGTGCATTTTTATGTCGGGCATTTGACTTTAATATCTTATACACTAGTACAGAGCAAATAATCACCATAATGACTGATACTATACAAGATGCAATGATGCCAACTATTCCACTGATTTTAATTGTCTCGTAATGCTCATTGAATGTGACGCTGATCGGATTATCTTAAAATGAAAAGAAAATTTCAAAACATTAAAGAAAATAATTTTGAGAAGTATTCAAACCTTTATTCATTTCTTAGGTTGTTGACTTGACTGTTTGAATGATACCTACCGATAGAATTGATCATTTACTTACAAAGTTCTAGACATCAAAGTAGCGCAGTCGTAATTAAGACTTTCCAAACGTTATCTTCAACTTGTCATCCTTTCAAATAGAAAACATTTACAAATGTTCACGTGTCCCAGCACTTGAATATATTTATGATAGTCCACAAATTATTAATCCTTTGTGTCCTTTTGTAAATCTTAAAAATGCAAAATGAGTTCTCGCATAACAGACAAAATTAACATAATTATCTTTATGAATTATTCTTCTTTATTTTTTGAACATTAAAATTTAATTAATTCTAGTTATAGTAGCAACTTCAACATTTTGTGGTCCAACGTTGTGCAAAAATATTTCTTCGTGAGTTCTGCGATACTTCGTGCGGATCATATTAGCTACACATATGAAGCATAGAATAAAAATTACTCCGGTGACAATGATAATGATGAAAATGCTATCTTGTATTATGTTTTTCAGGTATTCATACTGTCCACATGTGGTTGAGCTGTAAGGTTTGTCTAAAATAATAAATAAATTATTTTTTGGTATAATAATTATTTTTTATTTTGGTGATAGAGCAGAGTCTAGGGTATTTGGTTATTTAAAAGCGTTTCTGCCAGTGCGAATGCTAGATCTCTGTGGCTGAATTGTTGAAAGAAGACCGACATTCTATAACCTTCAAATCTTATGAAGACGTCGGTTCGATTCCCATAAGAACAAAATCTTCACAAGAATTCTTTATTGATAATGAAATTGCAGGGTGATCAAAATCAATTGAATCAAATGCAAGTCACATTTCTTTTATGAAAACTTGTTGCCACTAGTCGTCAAATTAAGGAATAAGTTGATATATCCAAAAGTGGAGATTTTCATAATTTTAAATAGCCTTGTTACTTACCACTTACACTGCAATTCCAGAAATCATTTTGAATAAAAGTAGCATTAACATTTGTTTCTTGCACCTCGCAGAGAACCCTCACATAAAACATAAGGACAGTCAACAGTGAACTGCAAAGATTTAAATTATTTTTTCAAAATTTATTATTTGTCAAAAAGACTATCACCTGATTTTTATTTGAATATAAATTCTAGTGAGTAGCTTCCGAAATCCTGATGTTCTCATTTTGGCCTTAAGGTTTAATAAGCTGCTATCTAGTTCAGCTTTACATTTAAAATATCTAAATAAAAAAAATGCTAGTTCGTGTGTCAAAAATATTGTAAAATGATATTAAGTCGTGAAAAAATCCATTTAAAAAAGCGAAAGTAAATTTTCATTTTATTTTCATGTAAAACACGTTCATATTTATATCACAATTTCCTTTCATATTATACTTAGCTATAGTTATTTTCCATTAAACATATGAAATTTCATTAAAACATTGCAATTAGAAGTAATTGATTGTGTGAATGCATTTTTAAATAGACATGTGAATCACAAGGAGGAGTTTATGTTATAAGAGTATATTAAGTTTAAAATCAGAGCTTGAAGTTGATAGGGTTCGAGTCAACTTGAGTTGACTCAACTCAACTCAAAACCGAGAGATTTTTTTTTGTTTGAAAAAGTTGACTCGAAAAAAATGAAATCGACTTCATGCTCTGTTTAAAATGCTAAGATTTATTGCAAAATTTAAAAAAAATTATCAATTTTAGTCATCACAGTTTGGTTTTTGTACGTTGACAAATTTATTATAGCTAAATTAGTTTTTAATCAGTTCCTAAAAATTAATTATCATATAAGGATGTGAAAACCTAGCTTATTGAATCAGAGAACTTAGTAAAATCAAAAAATTCAATTCTTAAAAATAAGAAACTATAAGTTTCGTCCAAATAAGCACCAATTTGATGAGACATTCCATATCCTAATCATCAAAATTTCAACCTTTAGCTCCCCTTCCCCAAATAAAAATTACTTCCTATTTTAATTTACGCAACAGTTGAAATGACAGCATTTGGAGGTGGTGCAGGATTGCGTTGAAACACCACGCCAGCCCGATGCTTATTTGAATGTATAACTTTACATATGCAACACCAACAACCACAGCAACAGATTACGATGATAATCAAAACACCACACACGATATATCCAACAATTTTTCCAAACTTTTTCAATGAGTCTAAACATTCGTCGCCGTAAAACTTTTCACCTTGAATTTAAAGTTGTAAGCATAGATTAATGCAAAATATTGATTTTTTTTTTCTACATCCAGTGTCATTTACCATTAATTTCACACGTTATCGTTCCATTTCCCATGTCATCAAATGAATATGACTTATCAGTTTGTGCATTTGTGACTAGCCAGTAGCTTCCTGTCACTATTGTAAGTGCTATAACGACACTGAAGAGAAATATTTGGAAAGTTGAAAATAAAAGGAACCAAAAAAATTTACCTAAGCGTCATTTTTAAGTAAACAATTTCCAACTTTCTAGTCTAAAAGAACAACTTTCTCGTCCACTTTCGTTGACTATTCTAATTGAACTAATGCAAAGCTTTCGGCATTGTGCTTGAAAGTTAAAAGTGAATGCAAAATCAATATTCATTCCAGTCAATTGTGAATGAATTATTACGTGGCTGATTAAAGTTTCTTTGTTTCCGTGACAATACATTATTTGCAATTGTTGACAATTCATGTTTTCTACATTGTCGGTTGTGATCTATCTATTTTTAACTTGTTGTTCTAAAGCTGAGTTCAGAATTCTTGCAAATTATTCGTTTTGTTTTCTTTTGTCCTTTTGTCTGTTTACTTCCATCGATGACTATTTCTTTATTTATGAGTTATTTTGTTGTTTGTTATTTGTAAAACAAAAACATCGGGATTTTCCATATTTAAGCTTATTTTTTGATCTTCTTTAATCCTGTCCTTCAGAAGTTCTTGATAAATTTCTAATAAATTCTTGAAGATTTTTGTTCTAAAATTCCTTCACATTAAATGTAAATATATTTTTTGATAAATTGCGTCGCCAGTAAATAGAATCTTCTGAAAAAAGTGAAAGGTCTTAAATAAAACGAAGATGCTTATGCGTATTGACCAAAGATGATCAAAATATTTGAATTAGAAGTAGATTTTTTTTTTCTAAAAATAACAAATTGTTGGAATTCTTTTACGGATTTTGTTGACTTTGATTGATATTCGAATTATTTTGTTACTTTTTGGCTGTTCTATGTTGGGAACTAAGTTTATAGCTGACTAAATGCTTCATTAATTGAATTCTTTGATTGTTAAGGGGCCGTTCACTTATGACGTCCAGAGGAGGGGGGGGGGGTCTGCAAGAAAAGAACAATAGCCATGGATCACAATTGACCAATACGGCCAGCAAAGTAAGTAAGTACTTAGTAAATTATTCATTTAAAATGTAATTCCTTCTCCAACTCACTGCAAAATGCGCTAAAATAGTCCACTATCATTAATTAATCAAAACTTCATTTCCTCAAACACATACTTTAATTTGCATGACTGAATTCATTTTCAATGTCTCATTTCTCATTTCTTTTCAAAAAGATATTATTTATTTATCAATGTGGCTTGTCAATTGCTCCCACACGCACACATTCATTGCACTTTCACAAAAGAATGGGAAAATTGAATGAAAAACTTTCACACTGACCAACAATCACTTTATACTCACTCATTCACAAGGTTCCATATTAACCATATGGCAATTTCATGTCTAAACTTGTGAATGAAAAACTTTTTTTCCTTTTAATTTTCCTTCTTGTAAATTCGAGAGCTATTATTGCAATCACTTGACATGGGTTTTCTATATAGAAAGTGTCGTAGAGTAAGAAAAAGGGTCAAAAGAAGAAGTTTGGAAAAATTGGAAAATGGAATGAGGGTTAGAAAATGCTTCCTTTGTAGCCAAGGGAATGATACAATTAGAAAGTTTAATTTGTAGAAAACAGACAGTTTCTTGAGTTGATTTAATTAGAAGTGTGTTTTGAGATTTTAATAGGGACTTATTGGGAATGGGATAAGTTTTTAGTGGGAACTAAGTTTTGAAAATTTTGAAATTGTTTTTGTTGATTTTCAATTGCTGAAATCTTCCCAAATGACACTTTATGGTTATGACTGGTTAAACAACTTCACATGTATAGCTTGGGACTTCATTTTAAATTTTTATATAATTTCAACAATCTATAATGGGAATCGAACCTAAAATTGGATGATATGTTGATAACTGATCTAATATCTTACCATTTAACTTTACTAGCTTCTAGTATTATTTCTACTAGTCCACAAATGACTCAATATATTTGAAAAGATAATTCCAGAGTGTCCATTCCCAACAGCATCCTTGATAAACTATTGTTACAGTCTACAAACACTTCATCCAGCTAGCACCAAAAAAGCAATAAGAATAGAGTGAAAAACTGAATGAATGCAAAAGACTGACCACAGTAGGAACAACAGAACCGAACCAAATCTCTTTCGAGTACTTCTTCTCCATCCACATCCAACAATAAGAAAAGAAAATGAAAATAAATTTTTTAAAAGTTTCTCATTGAAAATGGTCTTTTTACTTTCAAATTTTGTGGTCAAGAGGACGAGAAACTATAAATGGAAAATAATTTGAAGGGTGGACACAAATATTTTTACCATCTTAATGGGAAAACAATAGATGAAAATTTCCTTTCAAATATGTGAATGTGTTGATCATTTTTGAGGCATTTCAACTTAATTTACTGTAGTTTTTTCGGAAGAAAATGTTTTGAGGAAATGGAGCAAAAACGAAAGGGACGATTATGGGCAGTTTACATAATGGATGAAATGGAAAGGAAGATGAAATAGGAAATTGCGGTCAAAAGTTTTTGAAATGTTAAAAACTTCATCAATTGGGAGTATTGATTCATGCATGAAACTTATTGTATGATATTTTGAGCATTTATTTGGTTGGTGATGATTTTCAGTATATAAATTTTGCCTTTGGGGCCGTTCGCTTGTGACGTCCAAGCAGGGGGGGGGGGGGGGGGGTTGGGTGCAGTTAGAAAAAGAAATTTCTAGAAATTCATCGTTTTTTTTGAAAAATGACCGTTAATTTTGGACGTCATAAGTGGACGACCCCTTTATTATTATTTCCAGTCATTATGTGTTATGAGTTACTTAATGATAATAACATTGTTATTAAACTTTGTATAACATTGTAATTTAAGATTCCAAAATAAACTTAGAACAACTCAATATTACTTCACATCTTGCCTCAACAAGGCACAAAACCTACTCAAAGAATCCCTATCAAAGAATTATTATAAACAAGTATTGAATAACTAGCTTGAACAGTTCTTAATATAATCTTTCCAAAAAATTATTATTCAACAGCTCAAAATGTAATTTTACTTTCGCCTCAATTTCTTAAGAAAAACAGCTTCATGAATGTTATTTCATACTGATTATGTCAATTATACGTCATCTTTTGTGATAAATTTTTTACAGTTCCATGAAAATTGCATTGCGTATATCCAAAATATTGTTAAGCTAGTGAATGTTAAATAATTTTGTTTATTTTTAACTTTATTTTTGCAAGGTGAAATTTCACTTTATTTATTTTTGCTGCAATATCGGATGATTAAATGACAGAATAATGTGTGGGTAATAAAATAGATTAAGTCAAAAAAATATATCTTGTTTGTGTATAAAAATAGCCGGATATTTTTTTTTATGAATGCAGAGTTATTTCTATACATAGCTTTGTGTCTTTTTTTTGGGTATGGTATACAACTCTTTTATTGTTGTTATTGGCTAATCAGAGAATGAAACTGTTGCTTGTTAGAATGTTTCTTTTTAATTTTGGTTATTTATAAATCATATGAATTTTAACAAGTCATGGTCTGAAGAAATGTGAATCAGACTTGGCTGTAGGATGAAATGTCAGCAGGTTTTAATAACTTTGTTGCATTTTTTTGGGGGGATAAAAAAACGGTTACGATTAATCTCAATTAGTCTTGGTTTGAGAGTTTGTTCTTAGTGACTTGAGCAGTTGAATGCTGCATATTCTTCTATTTTAACTCATTCTTATCACTGAGGACCCTTTGATAACTTCAATATACATACCTACATTCTTATATACCCATTAAATGTCCAGAGTTAAGTCTCTAAGTGTGATTCTTAAATCTTGGACATTGCTAACGTTCCAAACTGATTCTCCCTCACATAAAAACATTTTCCAGCTTCGTCCTTATTACCAGTAAGTTTGATAGACCACAAAATCAATTAAAACCACAAAAAAAAATAATAATCTAATCCTTCAAAAACAAACAAATACGTGACGTGACTTTAATCCGGAACATAATCGACCCAAAAAAAATTTCAACTTTAAAATTATTGTCAATCCAAAAATCAAAACAAGCTATATAAACTACATAAAAATGCAAAACACCAAAATTAAATATAAGCAGTGAAGTTGTTTATGACTTTTCCGGCTAATGTTTCAATCTATTTGTGATCTTATGGAATTTTGCACCATTGACACGATTTGCATATTGATTAAATATTTTTTTGGGTCTAGTAATATTTAAAACAGACTTATCGGAAGCGTTTTTAATTGGCAGCAGATGAGGTTTAGATGGTGTTGTGGCAGTAGCTTAGTTGGAGAGACTGACTTGAGTAGATTAGACCTAGTTTTTGACCCCAAAATTTTAAAACCAGGGACCCCCAAAAATCTGATTCGTCACCATTCGATTGCACAAAGTTTCATCAGATTATCATATCCATACCGGCATCTGAAAACATGTTTAAGTTGCCACAAAAAAAAATCTAAATAACACAGAAGTCAAACCTCGTGGTCAGCGCGAGACTATCGACAAATTCAATTAAATTTGACTAGCAATCATATCCTGCACCTCTGCCATTTAAATTCAGCACTCAATCAATAAGAATACGGATACCAATCGGACGGAGTGGCTGAGAACATTCTAGTTAGAATTCTAGTAAACAATTCTATAAAAGTGAGTTGTATATCCTTTTGGAGCCAAAAGCTTTTGACAGATTTTTTTTTTGACTGATTTATTGAGCTTGTTTGGATGCTATGGAGTGGATGGAAGACTTTAATTCTTTTTTGAAGACCAGAATGATCAAATTTGGGTTCAGAGTTCTTTAATCTTATGAATGATTAAGGATATGTTGCTAAATATTAATGCTAGCTCAGATTCACTTCAAATCAGCACAAAATCACTTAAAACAGCGACAAAAAAACACCAAAATAAAGCACAAAAATTCCACTTATGCAACACAATAAAATTTCTAAATTCGCAAGTTTTCTTCTTGTCCTTTTAACAAATTACATCAATAAACTTGCCATATAAATTCTTTCTTATTATTTCCACACAAAAAAATTTAGGCAACTCTTTCAGCTCCATCCCGTGAAATGCGATAAGTTATCACACATTAAGCAACACCGAACACAAAATTCTCTCTTCTTGTTAATCATTTTTTTGGCCCCAAAAAAAAATGTATACACTCGATTCAAGTTCCGGCTCAAAACATTCAATGTATTCCTTATAGTTTTTAATTTTGTTGCGAAAAAAATGAGTCAAAAAGAAGCTTGAAAAAAAAATTATTCTGGTTTTTTTTCGACATATTAATTTATTAAAAACGGTAAGCTTTAGAGTCTGCCTGAGAAGATTTAAATGAAGATTCAAATCAATGCTGATTGTGTGGCGCTTATTATGTGTCTCATAAATTACCATAGAATTAATCTCATCAATATTTACGGAATCGCTTTGACTCGATTATTTATTGAATTTGCGTCACAATCATTAAGCACATTTATCATAATTAAATTCTTTTTTTTTTCATTCGTGTCTCCTTTTATGACTTTTTAATTACTTTATGATTCTTTCTCGATACTTCGCACTTTTATTTACTTTTTTGAAGCTTCTTCTTTGTCATCGTCTTTCTTAATTTATTTATTTTTAAATTTATTATTTATATTTTTGTTTTTCTTTCATGCAGGTTAATCGATTTTGTATGTCTCACCACTGACGTCAAAGGAAAGAATTCTTTTTATTCGAGAAAAGTTTTTGGGTTTAGCGACATTTTAAGTTGAAATGCAGTTTTGAGCTTTAGTTTGGATGGTTGTCTATATATTATGATAATAATCATTGCTTGAATGTTTATTTTGATGAAATCTACTTTAAGATTCGAATCTGATTATTATTCTCAGACTTATTCTCAGACTTAATTCTATTTACTACATGCACTAGATTCATTACTAGATGCTCAATCATCAATCCTTGATCTTAGTGCACTCCTAGTTG